TGGAACGATAACACCAACGAAATCGTTTCCAAGGCGTCTAAGCCACTGCACATTCTCAGGGTCTTGAAGCGCGCTGGGGTCCCTCCAGTGGACCTTGTCACCATCTATAGCGCCCTGGTTCGCTCTGTCCTAGAATACTCTTCTGTTGTCTGGGCTACTTGCCTTCCTCGCTTCCTCATTGACCAGCTGAAGCTATCCAGAAGAGGGCCCTGCGAATCGTATAGCCTGACCTCCACTATCAACAAGCTCTTGCACAAGCCAACATTACCAGTTTAGAGGATAGACGCACCCACCTGTGTCTTAAAGTGTGGCACAATATCAAAAATAACCCGGATGGCCAGCTGCACCGCCTTCTCCCTCCCGTGCGATCCGAATGCCACTCTTACCATCTTAGGAATAGTAGTAGTTCTAGCCGCTTCCAGTATAGAACAAAACGCTTCGGTTCTAGTTTTTTCCCAGCAATGGCGAAAATTAACTAATCTTACGAGTCTAGTTATCTCTAGTATTGTCCTTTATCTATATCTGAATTGTAAATAACTTATAAATAGCCTGTAATCCCAGTCCCTCTGAATCAAATGTAATTTTATTTTTAGTTGTAACTTATGTAAGCACATTGTAATTCATAGTTTTTATGCCACCATGTGTATTTTAATAAACCACTATTATTATTATTATTGTTTTATTTTTATTTTTATTTTAATTTTTTATTTTTTTTTGCCGTCACTGCACGACACGACGTAACAATGCCTAATTTCGCGACTCTCTTTTTCTTTTTCTGAACTACGATTCACTGTTTGAGAAGTGGACTCCAGAAGAATTTGTTGCCAACAATTGACGTATTCAAAGAGATAACATAAGCGCGAAAAGTTTGATGCAGCGAATATTTACAACTCCTTCATACAAAGCTTTCCACAAAGCTGATAAAAAATGGTTGCTCATTCCAAACTTTCGGCTGAAAACTGTTTAACTGTTTAAAGAAGGGAAAAGGTTGCTTGCCTACAAGCAGAAGCAAAAAGAGCGCTCGCACTTGCAGTCCTACTGCGCATTACACAGACGCTTGAAGAGCGGATAGCCCGTTTCATCTCTTAACCTTTACACCCGGAAGTTCTGATTCAAACTCTTGGGAAGTTTTAAGGAAGCCTTATGAATTAGCCTGCGAGCAAGCTCTCCATTTCGAGTGGCGAGCGAAAAAAGCCGCGAGAAAACGGGACAGCGAGCGGCGAAGCTCGCGTCATCGTTCGCGTGGGGCTCTCAAGTGACTTCTCGCGACTCCCTCAAATGGAGAGCTTCCTCACAGGCTACCTGTGGGTTGATGTGAATGGTTAAACGCGAGAGGGGAACGAAAAAGTTACGCGGGATTGCAAGTTAATGAGTTTCATGTTCTCTACGATAGGCATCGCAAAGTGTCCCATAGCCCTAATCCTTAGCTAAACGCAAGCAATTCTGGCATATTGTGTCCAATGTGAAGTAGCTAATTTCTGAGTTTTCTCGCATTTCTGGACATAAGAGAGAAAATTACGTTGGGAAATGTAGTTCACGTTTACTACGTACGTAAATGTTTTATCGATTATAACAAACAAGGATAAAAAGAAAAACGATCAGGTTTCTAAATGAGCTTTAAGTCCAATCAAATCAGATGAATTATTTTAAGTTTTACACTTTGTATGGAGTTTAAATTAACTGAATGAATTACATAACGACTATCGATAGCTAAGATGCATTTATACTCATTAATAGAGATTTACCGACGACCGACAAAGATTGAAAACTACGTTTTAACAGACAACCGACGTATAAACCCCGTCCCACCTTCAGACCCTTTTTCTTAAGAAAGGACAAAGGTGAGACTAAATCGTTAACTAATTGTCTTATTAATGAATATGCTTTCTTTTTAGGTCCACTTGTACAGCGTGCTGTCAATGTTTCTTTGGTTGTCATCATTCCATGAATTTGCAATTGCCAAGTAAGTGTAACCCTTGTATTCAAATGACGTCATATCAGTCGCTCCAAAGGTTGAAATCTCTTGATATGCAGTGAACTGGTCCCCAGAAGCACGATACACGACTGACTCTATGTTGAACCTTTTGTTGTACCTGGAACGTGATATGTCCTGTTGATTAGCCACACCCAGAAACGTTTGACCGCATATGACAAATGGGTACCAGGCCCTGGCCCCAAGGGTACCAATGGACTGAAAAGGGACAAACTGTCTGCCATTCCACTTGTAAATGAACGAGGGGGAGTTGATATAATCTTCCCGAGTGGCTATGGCTAGAAAAACGTGGTCATTGATGTAAAAGGACTTCACATCCGTTGCTCTATTCGTTCGAAGCGTCTGAAATTTTCCGAAGTTCTTGCCCGACCACTTATAGACGACTAATGATACCAGGTTCGAATCAGTGACCTCGCTTGCAAAGGCAATGTAGCTTTCATTGTTAATTACAAACGCAGCACTTGCACGACATCCCTCTGTCGCTATCTCCTGAAACTTTTCAAACATGTTGTTTTTCCACTTGTAGATGATTGAGTTGGCACCATAGAGATTGGATACGGTAAGAAAAGGTTCTTTCGCTATTGTAAAAAATTAAAGCTGGCTGCGCCTTTCGTTGCAATGTTTTGAAAAGCAAAAAACGATGTTCCATTCCAACGATAAATAACTGAGTTTAGTCTTTTCGTAGTTCCATTATCAACATTAGCAACGGCAAGATAATGTTCACCAGAAATTGTAAAGTATTCTACGTCATGCCCTCCATGTGTGCCTATGGTCTGGTAAAGAAAGAATTTTCCAGTCAAATCGTTGAACTTGTAGATAAAAGAATCTGTGTTGTATTTTTCGGCGGTGTCACTTTCATAGTTGGCGAACGTTAGAAAAAGACTTCCATTAGTGGTGAAATGTTCCACGGCGAGAGCTCCTCTGGTTGGTAAATCTTGGTATTTTTCAAAGTAACAACTAGAACAATCTGCAAAGGAAAACGAAAACATAAAATTCATGAGTACTCGAAATACTTACGCCGCAAAAATTCCTTAAAAAAGTTGACAGAAAAAAAAAAACTTAATTCCGCGAATTTGGCAAGACAGGTTTTCGCGGGGTTTTATTTGCGCGATTTCAACAGGCAAATATGAAAAAAGGCCATTAAATTTCGCGATTAAAGCGTTCTCAAATTGATTTTATTTTTCAAAAATTCGGAACTTTTTAAAATTTCTAGATAAACAGGAACAAGCAATGCGTGAAATCTTTGCAATTAAAACGTTATTGCACAACCGAAGATACAAAATGGAACCTACCAGTAAAACCAATCAACAATTTGTGTATTTGTTGAACATGATGCATATATATGTTGTTGCTAAATTGTTAACATTTTTTTTGCGTGTGTTTTGAATTTTCTACATGGGTTTTAATTTCGCGATTTATTTACAATCGCGAAAAACGCGAAATTAAGTACCGATTAGGTAATATAATCGTTCAATTAAGTAGGGGGCAAGACGTTGAACTTATCATGAGACGAACTAAATTAAGATTTGGGTGGACCTTAAGTTCGACTGCTGAGTCAAACGTCGAACTGACTTGAACGTCGAGCTTAATTAGAAAAGTAACCAATAATACGCGAAACGGTTTTACAGTCGAACGGTGAAACGCCGCTTTCTTGGTCTCTACAGTATTCTATTTATCTCATCTTCTTTTCAACTTTATACGCATATGTTTGTTTGTATGGTAAAATGATAATAAACAATAAACAGCTCGTAAGGTGCAGTTACACACACTTTTGTAAAAGACATTTCTCCCCACAAAGAAAGCCGTGGTATTACTAATCCCTTGGCAAAGGATCGGGTCATTTCGCGTGAAAAAAAAAAAAGTGAATGGAACTACGTCAGCATCCGAAGGACTGTTGTAACCCAATTACTACTAGGGTCACCTTTTATGCATTGCTACGTAAAGTGTCTGTTATTTAGAATACTGTGGCGATCAACTGAAGAGGGAGTCGTTTGACGAAACTAGTTTTGTGAATCGCTATATAAATTTAATAGTGTGTTGAAAGTGGAAACAAATTAGTTCTTTTTCCTTTTGTTTACTGAAACAATGTTAAGTAGCGCTTTCTTGGCTTTGGCAAACAATATTTCACAGAATTGATCCAAGTTTGTTTTTCAGTTTAATCACGTGATTAAGTTGGCAAATGAAGGACAGATTCTCACCAATCCCGGCAGACTAACATTTTGGGGATCTGAAAATCCACTGCCAATTTCAGTATTCACCTATCACTCTTTCCAGATAAAACTTTCCTCCTTCTGGGAAGTTAGCCAGCCGAAATTCCATAAAGGAACGAATGACGATAAGTGGGCAACAAAACTAAGAAAGAGAACGAGAAAGAAGGATCGAAATAAATTTGCCGAAAAAGGTCGAAGTTTTGGCTCAAGCGCATGAAAGGTACTAAAAAAAAAAAACAAGTCAGAATTATTTACATCCCAAAAATATTTCCCAATTCTCATTCATTTCTATGCTAATTTGTGGAAAACCAGTCCAACTAATAAAATTCTGTATGGCAAGTGTTGGGGTGAAACTTTCTTTACCGTAATCGCAGTCAGGACAATGGCAGGATCTTATTTTCAGTTGATAATTATGCATAATTTTGGTAAATTTCAACCTGGTATGTTAGTCCTGATAATTTGGCAAAGGCATAGAGCTATTTGTTTTAGTCTTGGCCTTAGATTTCATTGTTTGCATACCACCTCGAATATCTGCATATTTTGGGTAAATATCGTTCCTACATCTGGCTTAACAAACCACCTGAAAATTCCGTCACAGAATAAGATACTGTACAATAAAGAAACAGAAAAGAGCTTCGCCGGAAGTCGAACCTAGTTCATCTGCACGTGCAAGCATGTCCTTGACCACTGCACCATTGTGCCACTCCAGTCAGTGTTTGGTGAAGTGACTTTGTTTTTTTTAAACCATTTTTCTCTGGCGTAGACGCTGTTTGAAAAGATTAGCGTAAGCACGTATATCAAAGCTATTTCTCATTGTTATTTCGGGTTCAAAGGGCCGATCGTTGTAGAAAATCAATCAAATAAGCTGTACTGAATTTAGTGAAGAATTGAGAAATAAACAGAGGCCCACACTCGAAGGGATTGATGAGAAGTACGGTCGATTTAATCAGCGAAGATATTGAACATAGTAAACGTGTGTGACCTCTGGATCGAACCTCCTATTCTGGCCGGACTAGACGTTGCCAATTTCATGCTCTTGCTGGTCCCGTAAACACGGTCCGCGACACCAATTTTAAAATTTTGCGAAATGACGGACACAAAATACCAAGAGGGTTTACGCAAGCAGATGAAAGTAACAACAAAGCAAAGTATGTGACGTCACAATGGCAGAGATGAATCGGTCACAGACAAACACATGAAAACAATAGAGCTGGGCCCTCCCTCCGAGTCTTTCTTTTTTGAATATTTCACTAAAAAAATATACCTATTTAGATAGTTTTATAAAGAATATTTTTAATACTTATACTTTAAAAAGATATGGGTGGTTTTCGCTCCATCACTTGCCTACCCCACAGTACTTTTTGCATCCGTCTAAGAAATTGCTTCCCGCCTTCGTGATCAGCTTGCGCATGGAGGAAAAAACAATCAATGTATCGTTTGAAGAGTTAAAAGAAAAAGGCACTTTCTTTGCGCGTGAATTGGCAAGGCAGAAAGGCCTAGAAAAACTCTGCGAGATATTTGAAAGCTAATATAGACTTCGTGTATTGTACGATCAATACGACAATCTGGCAATCTAATCAATGCCACAATTCATGCAACAGTTCCATCGTCAACAAAAAATAATCATGTATTAAAGGGCCTCGGTTGTTTGTTAATCATTCACTATACTAAACCACCCACCTAAACATCTTCGAAAATAAGAAAGGTATTATTAAAATTTTAATTATAGTTCTGTCATTGAGATTAATCAGATCAATAGGATCTTTTTTGCAATAATTATAACTAACGCTAGGAACGATCAGATTATTACAGACTTCCTATAAATATGGTATTTACTGGAAAATGCAATTTTCGTGTTTTCTCGGGTGGGCCATTTGCACCCTATTTTTAAGCCCCGCCGTGGGGCATTTGCAGCTTTTCCAAAACAAAATGGCAAATGCCCGACAAATGCCCGAAGTGGGATGTGCACGCTTGGAGTTGACTCAGCCATACTTCTGTGCCCTGCTTTTGTGCGGTCGTCGCAAATCAAACAAATTCGCCGATCAAATTCGAATCGAGCTGCGGGAGTTGAGAAAACACGCTTAATCAAGCATAGTTTGGTGACTGATACACAAGCAAGGAGAATAATCACAGTCTCAAATATTGATCAGGTAATTTTTTTCTTAATTATGTTAACGCATTGTTTCTTTCCGGCCACAATACAGCTAGCAAAATGCAACGTTCGTATGACTCGAGATACAATCGACCTTGCTAAGCCACTCTCCAACAAAATACTTTGTTGAGGCCAATCCTCAACAAGAGAACATTTTTTTGTTTTCCTAGTCCGTTCCATTCCGTTTTGTAATTTATTCTCCCAGCATGCTTAGTGAGCGCGTCTCAGTGTCGTCGTGGAGCGAGAAAGAAACCATGTGCTTTGTAACGCGCTAGTCGCCGGGAGTTTCTCATCGTATGGTGAGTCTTAGGAGCTCGTTTATTTCCAAATCCCTTTCCAGCAGTGATTAAGTATTTGTTTTGTAGGTTTTTACTTGCGAGGTGAAGCTTGTTAGCCAAAGATGAGACTCCAAATTCGATCCTGTTGTGTTGTTGAGGAAATGTGCTGAGTGTGCAACTTTCGATTATTAAACTTGTGTTCAGGGACCCTTGTGTTGTGAAAGCGCGTTTTGTCCCCTGGACATCTTCGTAAAAACCATACGATCATCTTGCCTGTGATTACTGGACGTCCAAAGTCTTAACTGTGAAAATATTTGTGCGTGTGAATCGAAGTGACATCAAAGGTCATGACTCAACGAGGAATTCTACTCGAGCGTTTGGAGGTGTTGGACAGATCTCGAGGGGATATTTGTCTAATATTACGAAATTGTGTCATCAACTGGATGAAAATCTCGGAGACTTCAGCAACGTCGTCAAGATACGAACCGTGCAAACTAGCCTTAATTCCGCGTGGGAGCAGTATTGTGTTTGTGTTGAGAAATACGGTGATTTACTCGATACCAGCTGTGAAAGGTACCAAAGAGTCTTGAGCGACCGTGCGGTTCAGCAGTCAAGGATACAGGAATACAATGAGAGAATAGATCAGTTTATTGCCAGTGCCGCTGCCTTTTATAATAGCCAAGTGTTAGAAGAAGTGAAATCAATCAAGGAGTGTACCCCTCCAGGATCTGTGAAATCTAATGGTAGTCGTGTCTCAAAATCAAGTGTGTGTAGCTCCAGGTCCCAAAGGGCAAAAATAGAAGCAGCGAAGGCCCTACTTATGCAGCAACAAGCTGAAGAAAGGAGTAAGAAGCTAGTAGAACTGGA